GTCCGCTGCGCCGGCTGCTTCGGCTCCACCGCCGGCTAGCCGGTGCGGGCGGAGCTGGGTTGAGAGACTGCTGCGAGGCCGGAGCCAGGGGTCCGGGGCCGAAGGCCGGGGACCCGGGCCAGGGCGACGCGGAGCGTACCTGTATTGTTCGGGGTCTGGGCAGCGCAGGGCACGACGCGCGACTCGGCTTCCAGCCTCGCGCTAGCTGCCGCCACGAGAGCCGCCTGATTGGCCAGCGGGCGCCGCCGTTTAAAACAGCCTCCTCGCCTGACCATTGGCCACCTGGTTCATGCATATTAAGCAGGTGCTGGCGCCGATTGGGCGCGGCCCGGGGCCCCTTCATTCAAACCCCGCGGCCCGCCGGCAGCTGAGCTCTGGGTCCCCTGTGGCCCTCACCTAGAGTGACAAGGTCGTGGCCAGTTGCCTGCGCTCGCTCCCACGGCCAGTTTTCCCTATGGAGACCGGGGGTCTGGCCCTCGAACCGAGCTCATTTTCCGCACTGCCACAGTGGGCTCAGAGGAAACGGAGTTTGGCAAGAGCACAGGTATTATGAGAAATTGTGGTTTTGTGGTCAGGGAGTCAGAGTCCCTGTGAGTGCATGAATGAATGGGATTTGATTTGTTCTCAGCTTGACCACTGGCTGGTAGTGTGGTCCAGAACAAGTCACTTTGGGTTGGGGGTGGTTCAGGCAGTGGTTTTCAAAGTGAAGGGCAGTGTCACCCTTGAGAGGGGCATTTGGAAATAATGCGGGGGGGGGAGGAAACAGCCAAGAACTCTAAATGCCTGCCCACACTGCAGTGGACAACTACATTCCAAGTGCTAGTTGCAGCCCTTTTGAATAATACCTCAGGGACTGGAGGAAAAAGCAAGGGTGAGAAAGGAGGAAATAACGGTTGAAATTTGGAGAAAATGATGCAAAGAAATGACACCCACCAGACAATGACTTTTCCAAATGCCAGTTCCCCACTGAGCTTGAGTAGTGCATGGGAGCAGGCCTCACCCTGACCTCTACCTCGGAGCTTCCTCATCGTGTCCGAGGCCATGCAGACCCACAGGTATCTTCTTGAGCCCTGGACTCAACATCCTTACACAGACCCATTCCCTGTCCTTCAAAGAGTTGATGCCAGGCCAGGGCACTTGACCAAGTGGACAGCTCAGTTCCTTCAATGACCTGGTTCTCAGCACCTGGCCTGCCCAAACTGCTCCCATGTCCCATATCAGGGGCCCCACCTAGGAGTTGGCCATTGCCCTCCTCTGTCAGATGGGACAGGGCCTTCCTGTGGTCCAGCTACTAGCCCTCATGGTGGTCCCTGGCTAGATGGCAAGGACTACAATGACAATAAACACAAGGCTCTCCCACTCAGGGCATCCCCAGAAGGTGCAGCCTGAAGGCAAAGCCTGGAAAGCAAGGGCTAGAAGAGACCTACTTCCAGCCTAAGGCCCTGGTTCTGGCCTGCTGCACAGCCTGACTGCTGCTTCCAGCACTGCACACACATGTCCAATGAAAACAGGGTTCCTGTGAGTCTCAGAAAGAAAGTAGCTCCGTTTCCATCTCCATCCTTGTTCCCAAGAAAGCTCATTCCATGGACTGGAAGCACTGGGCCTAAAGCCAAGATCTGGGGTCCTCAGAACCCTGCTGAACTTGGCCGAAACCGTTATCAAGGTTCCCAGCCCCTGCCTCCCACAAATACCCAGACCACCCCAAGTCAACAAGGCTTCTTCAAGTTCATCATCCTGGGTCACTCCTACCAGCCCCCATGAGCCTCTACTTGGAACCCCCTCCTCAGCCACCATGTGTTGGTGACTACAGCCTGAGCTCAGATTTCAATTCCATGTACACATATTGAAAAGCCAAACCCAACCCATTGCCACTGATTTCAGCTCATAGCAATCCTATAGGACAGTACACAACTGATCCTTTGGATAACTGAGAGCGCAAGTCTTTCTCCCTTGGAGTGGCAGATGGGTTTGAACTGCTGGCCATGCTGTTAACAGCCTAGTGCCTAACCCACAGCACCACCAGGACTCCTCACCCCTAATGAGGGCCTTTTAATGATAAGAGAATGTACAAGAGGGTCATGGGGGTGGAGCTTTGGGCCCTTTGTCCTGTCACCTCTCCCCAACCAGCCTCAGAGTCATCTGTCAGAGGAGGCTCCACCAGGCCACTGCCCAGTATGACTGGAGGAAGATCATCACTGAAGGTAGTGTGCTTGTCACTACTCCTGCTCAGAGGCAGGCTTCCAATCAGTCTGTAAGGTGAAATCAAATGACAGGATGCCATGAACCCCCAGGCTCCAGGCAGCTGCAGCTGGGCCCTCTCCGGACCTCTGTCCAGTTCCCCTCCTGGAAAGCACTTGAACTACTGCAGTCACCTCTGAGGCCCCACATTGGGTAAAACTGGCCACACAGCACCTCAAACCAGAATCCCTTAAGCTGCTAGCTGCCTGGAGAGGTTATGAAAACATTGAAAGCAAATAGGAACTAGGACCAAGTGTGGCCAATGCTATTTAAAGAGGTTTTCAGTTCCTGGCGGTTCAGGGCCCCCAGAAGGTTAAGAGGGATCTTCATCATTCAGCAGAGGTGAAAGGCTAACTCTGGTGGTATTCCCCCTACCCCCTCATCCCTACCCTCCCAGTTCAAATGCTGGAGGCCCAGACAGACCAGCTTCCTTTGAGGCTTCCAGGCAGGGGTAGGATGGGATTGTGAGGTCTTTTCAATAAGGATGCTAGGAACCTCTCTCAATTCTAGTCTGTCCAGGTAGTGATTTAGCGAGGGGATTCCAGGCCTTCCCACACCCTGGACCCACCCTGCTCTCCTGAAAAGATTGTATGTACTCCAGGGCCTGGAGTCCCCCCACCCCCCAATTACACCTTTTGACCCGCACCAATTGTGTCAACTCATGGCGACTCCATGTCTTTCAATGGTGTGAAGTTTTCAGAAGCTGAACTCCAGGTCTTTCTTCTGAGGCACCTCTAGGTGGGTTTGAACCACTCACTTTTCAGTTAGCAGTCTTAACCATTGGCTCCACGGGACTTCTTTTTAACCAGAGAGGAGGGGAGTGTTTTCGGAGGTGGGGATAACTTGGTGGCCCTCTTGGCCAGCCTGCTCAGGTGTACACTTTTCCTTTTTCTCCCTCTTTTTCTAGCTCAGCCCCTTCTGGAACCAGGGACCTCGGTGAGCTGACAGAGCAGTCAGACCCCACAAGAGGGCTCTGCTTGCAGACAGCAGTCCCATCCTACATAGACTATGTGCACAAGACAGGCTGCGTTACGTGCACACGTACAGGGTTGAAGGCAGCAGGTGTCTCTGGAGGGCATAGTGGGATGTGCATGTCCTCTATGGCTGCTCCTTGCTCGGATTTTCCCTGCTCAGCTGAAGGCTGGGCCAGCACCCCAAACTCCCTCATTTCCAGGGCAACTCCTTCTCACTACTAGCTCTTGCCTTGGGGGTGGAAAGGGGGCCCCACCCCAAGATAAAGCAGGAATGGAGACCTCC